CAATCCACCTGCCTCAGCCTCCCACGCACCTGGCCCACTCCAGGTGTTTTAAACAGGAGGGGATTAAACACAGGGAAATCAGGTGCTTATAAAATCGTAGGAGGCTGGAGGAGCAGCTCTAGGGCAGGCCCTCAGGAATGACACCCAGGACAGCACAGAACCAGGAACGCTGCTGCCAGAACTGCTGGGCTCACAAAGGCCAGGACTGGCTGTGATACTGGGCCCACTCCTGCCATCCATGCCTCACAGGAGGATGTCTAATTGTTAGAACCTAATTCTCCATCCAGAAATCCCAGATGCTGGGGAGTCTGGGAAATACAGATGTTGCTTATACCCTCTGCTGAGAGAAGGATGGAAGTCAGCCCAGCCCACCCACTGTCACTGCAATGAACAGCATGGTAGAAAATGGACAAGTGCAGAGAAGCAGATGTGAGGGAGAAAAAAATAACCCCCCATAATCCACCATCTGAAGGGTAGCCCTATTAAGACTGTGGTGTGTACTCTCCAAAAATTATCTGTTTACTTAAAAACATTTTCAAATTAGGCAGGAGTATACCAAGTCCTTTTCCCCACTTAACATTCCTACGAGATAAAAGTATTTCCTCAGATCATTAAAAATCTTCCCAAAGCTGTTTTTATAATGGCAGTGAAAAATATCCCATTGTATAGACACACCACTGACAAAAACCTATTTCTTATTGTTCTCCATGTAAACGGTTTCTGATTTTTCTATTTTTTTTTTTTTTTTTGTTTGTTGTTGTTGTTGTTGTTGTTGTAGTTTGGCCCTGGCCAGGTTCAAACCCGCCACCCTCGGTATATGGACCGGCACCCCACCCATTGAGCAACAGGCACCACCATAGTTTTTGTTTTTAATGTTTCAGATAACACACCAGCAGACATCTTTGCATATAACTGTGATCCTAGCACTCCAGGAGGCCAACGTGTGTGAATCACCTGAGCTCTGGAGTTCAAGACCAGCCTGAGCAAGAGCAAGCCCCCATCTCTACTAAAATTGGAAAAATTAGCTGGGTATGGTGGCAGGTGCCTGTAGTCCCAGCTACTTGGGAGGCTGAGGCAGAAGGATCACTTGAGTCCAGGAGTTCAAGGTTACTGTGAGCTAGGTTGACCCCACAGCACTCTAGCCAAAGTGACAGAGTAAGGCTGTCTCAAAAATTAAAAAAAAAAAAAAAAAGAAAGAAAATCTTTGCCCATATTTTGAATTCTTATACTTTAGAATTTTTTAATTTGCTGACTGACCCACTGCTAAGAAGGATTTCTATTTTTTAAAAGGTTTGCTCCTTTATTTGGAGATGCTGGAAAACTATTAAGAAAAAGACTCCTCTGAAATCCCCCCACACAACAGACTTTTGGTGTTGGGCTTAGTCTGGTGAATGCCACCATCCTGTGTGCTTTTTTCCACAAAGCACCAGAACATAAACACATGCCGGGCATTTCACACGCTTCCGACCCCTGCGTTAATGGCTGCAGAGGCCTTCCCTGAGTGGACAGGACCTGCCCTGTGTCTGTTACCACATTTCCTCCCATTCTACAGAACAGACCTGCCTTTGCATTATGCCTTTCCCCAAATTTCCGGCCATTTCTGTAGGGCACATTCCCAAGAGTGCAGTCACTGGGTCAAAAAGTCAGAGCATTTGTGAAGAGTCTCTGGCATAAATTGCAAGTTTCCACATCTTTCTTCTCCCTCAACATAGTTAAGAATAGCAAAAACTCACGGATGGCTTACTCTGTGCCAGGCCCTGTTCTGGTTGCTTTCATATGCAGACTTGGTGAGATAGGCACCATCTCTATGTCCATTTTGGAGACAGAGACCCTGAGGCAGACAAGGTCACGCAGTTAGTATGTAATAGAGCTTGGATTTAAAATCAGGATGCCAGGATGCTGGCTCCTCATCTGTGCTCTTCACAATTTTGAGTTGCTGTCTACAGGGATCTGCATCATTTTTACCAGCCAAGTCATGCTCACTCCACAGCAGATGTCCCAACATTCATTCAGCTATGACCCAACCGGTAGACAGTCTTTTCAATTTTTTCCTCATCATTGGAGGCAGATTCAGGTTTAGTGATGCCTGAAGCTTGTACAATTTGGGGGACCCTCTTTTCAAAAAATATTAGTTACAAATCCAAAAGCAGATGCAGGGCCTTGGAAGGGATCCGGAAACCCCATTGTCCGTTATGCTCCATCAGCATCACAGTAAATCCCAATGTGCCTTTCCTCATTACTAGGAAAATCTTCAGACAACAAAGTAGAGGGAATTTTCCTATGAACATGCCTCTATCCCTCCACTATCTCCCTGAACCATTTCACCGCACTCATTTCATGGGACATGTGCCCATCCCCCATCTGCCCATTTAATCCACTTTGTTTTCTGCATTCAAGGGAAGTTGCAGCCATCAGTGCACAGCAGCTTGCAAATCATTAAGTTCTCTACTTCTAAGTTGTCCTTTGGATGTAAAATCCAGATGTGAAATGTACCTCAAGTGCACCAATACAAAGGTCTCTTTGCTGTGGACATTGCTTTTGCACATGGGAACGGACACATTTCCCCAAGCAGTTAAGGACCAACAACTTCCTGAAGGCACTGCAAATGTATGTCCAAGCTGCAGAATTTGTCCTTGAGTAGCCATGACCACCCTCACGTCCGAGTATCCATGTATCTGAGATGCTGTGACAGCCATCTCTGGGCATCTCTCCATTTCCAGCAAGTTCCTCCAAACTCCCCTGCATGGATTAAGTGGGTCAGAGGCTGGAGGCTTATTGCTACTTGGCAGGCGGCTTTCATTCTCACCTCTCCATACTGGCCCTGCCATCCCTGCTTCTCACCCCCAAAACACATACACACATAAAGAGCTGTTTTCCTATCTGTAGGATATTTCTATTTTTATTTAAGATGGGAGAGGGGATAGAACAGCCAAAATAGTTCTCATAAAAGTCATGTTCTACGGGATATGGCGGGGGAAGCACTGACGTTAAAACAGCTCTCCCTTCACCCATTTCTTTTATAAACTACTCACTATTTTTATCATCATATCCTGGAGAAACCTTCCCAAAGGCCATAATAAAAAATGAAGACAAAAAACTAAAAACACTCTTCACTTCTGCCCGGCAAAACACACCACATAAAGTCAAGACACCTGGGACCACCTGGGAGAAATGCTTGTCACGTGTATGACAGATTTCAGATCCATAATGAATAAAGAGCTAACACAAACAAGAAGTAACAAAATGATACAAGCCCAGGAGGAAAATGGCCAAAAGGTTGGAACGAGTGCAGAAGAGGAACATAAGCATCCAGGCTTCATATAAAAATATGCTAAATCACATTGGTAACCAGGCACAATAAAATAAAAATAGTGCTATCACGTAGTAGCAAAGCTGTGAGGAATCAAGTGGGCTCCCGTGCTTTAGGGGAACAAAAAGCAGCAGTGGCAGGCACAGTGGCTCATGCCTGTAATCCCAGCACTTTGGAAGGCCAAACCAGGAGGATCACTTAAGGCCAGGAGTTTAAGACCAGCCTGGGCAACATAGGGAGACCTCACCTCTACAAAAATATTTTTAAAATAGTTGGGTGTGGTAGCATGTACCTGTAGGCTCAGCTGCTCAGGAAGCTGAGGCAGGACTGTCTGAGCCCAGGAGTTCAAGGTTATTGCCAGTGAGCTTTCATCAAGCCACCGTACCCCAGCCCGGGCAAGACCCAGGTGATAGAGCAAGACCCTACCTCTAAAATTTAATAGAAATTTTTTTTGTTTTAAATCAATACAGCCTAGATAGAGAACAATTTGGTTGAATCCACACGCCCTGCAGCCCAGACTCACTTCCAGTACTCATGTTACAGACACACGTGAAAGGCACATGGCCAAAGACATTTGTCCCAAGGCAGGAGGAGCAGCACAGACCTACCTGGGGAGGTATCACAGCACACTAACACAACAGGACAGCTGTGAAAAACGATGACGCGCTCTGTACAGACATAGAGTGAGCTCCAAGAGGCACTAAAAAGCCAGCTATAGAACCACACATGGTGTGATACTAAGAAACAGAAAAATCAAAACCATTCTATATTCACAAGTACATGTAATTTACACACAGAACACAATCATTCATACCAAACTGCAGTGATAGGTCCCTGCTCAGAGAAGATGGGTATGAATGGGAGGCAAAGGGCAAAGGTGACAGTCATGGGTCTGGCAATGGATGATTTACAGTAAGAACATGGTCCTTCATTTCTTGTAAGGGTTTAAAATGATCTTTTAAAAATAGGTATGGGGAAGGGAGGGAAATAAATTTTATTTTATTAATATGTGTTTCCTCATCTGTCTTTTTTTTTTTTGTACAGACAGGGTCTCAGGCTGTTGCCCTGACTATAGTGCAGTGACACAATCATAGCACATTGCAGCCTGCAATTCCCAGCCTCAACCAATCTTCCTGCCTCAGACTCCCCAAGAGCTGGGATTTCAGGCCTGAGCCACAGCACCCAGCACTTCCTCAGCTTTAAATGAGGAGTAACGACAACCTGTGTTGTGAGGGTTCAACAGGCTGCTTAATCCATCTACTTAAAAATATAGTAGAGACTTGCCATATCAGATGCTGCCACCTTGCTTCTCCCCCCAGCAGTGTGACAGGAGCTCCTCTGTCACCTGTGGCAGGAGGAAGTGGGCTACTGTTAGTCAGAAGTCCAGAGCAGATCTCGGCTTTGCCATCCCCTCACTCCCACTTCCAGACAGGCTGGGTGGACATGACTCCCATGTCCACCCAGCCTACTGTCTTTTTAGGATCTACCCACTCCGGCAATGGCCTATCAGATGGGCCACACTCAGTGAGCTGGCAGCCTTTCCACACACCCGGGGGTCTTTCACAGGCCCTGGAGGAAAAGAATGTTCTGGCACTTACATCCTTGTGCCTCATATCAAGGGGGATGTACAGAAACCTCACGGAGAGAAGCTGCCTGTGGGAGGGCGATAAAGCATACACGCAGCCCATGGTGTTGGTCAGAAGGTGCTTTATTGAAGGGAGGGGCTCCAGCATCCTGCAGCTATAACCTGGGGACAGAAGAAAGGGGTTGAGGGGAGAGTGCCCATGTCCTCGCCCACTTGACACCCCCCCTCCTGCCCTTCAGTTTCCCTTTGGGGACCCTCCAGCCCGAATTCTGGGTTCAGAGCCGCTGACTGTCACCTAGGCTATGCCAAGGGAGCAATGGTCAACCACTGGCCACAGCTGCTGGGTTTGGGAAAGACCCAGGGACCTGGTGGATGTCACACAGAAGAGGGAGTCCTTTCTTTACTTTGAGCCGCTCAGAGCCAGTCCAGCGCCCCCTGGCAGGGAAGGGGTCCCACTCACTGGATCTCCCGGAATGCTCGCTTCTCCACGAGCTTCACTTTGTACTTGCGCTTGAACCTGGAGAAGGGACAAGAAAGCAATCAGTGACTGGTGGCCTAGCTAAGCTCAGTGGTAGGTTCTGGATGCCCTCACCACCACCACAACCCCTGCAGCAGTCCTGAGGGCCCTCACTTGGCTCTTTCCCGAGGTTCGATCATATTCCTTCTCTGGAAACTCTTGAACCGGTCTTGGAGGATGTTGCCCTCCGGCTGTAGGACAGAGAAGGAGGCCTCAGAGGGGCTGGCAGAAGCCCAAGGGCCTTGGACTCCACAGCCGTCCGGGTGGAGCTTAGGCCCTGCAGTCTCCCTGGTGCTACGTCAGGAGCAAAGCCTGGCCCTGAGTTCATGGCACTTGGTCTTGGGAGCCAATGGCCAATGACCCACAGCTGCCTCTGAACTGGGTATGGAAGAATCCAAAGGACAGAGGCTGGTGAGGCATGGAAGAGGGAAGGCCAGGCAGAGGGAACAACATGCAAAGACAAGGTCAGAGGGAGAAGGCACAGAGCCCCAGCCAGGCCACACAACGCTCCTGGCTGTGGGGAGGAGCTAGGCTTCATCCAGGGCACTGGGGAGTCATAGCAGGTTCTGAGCTGGGGAGGAACAGGGTCCTTACTGAGCTGTAGAATATCTCTTTAGTCCTGAGGAGAGTGAGATAAGGACTAGGAGACCAGACCATAGTAAAGACCAAGCTAGGAGGAAAGGCCTTCTGAGGACCACAGGCCCAAATACCACCCAGTCCCTCATCCCAGGAACCCCAACTTAGGACCCCGTGCCCTCAGCCCCCAGGCCAATAGCCCAACCAGCCTGTCCTGGGGGCAGCCATGGTGTCGCCCACAGCCCCTGGGAGGCACGGGGAGCAAGGATGGGTATCATCACTGGGCACGGGCCCCCATAGCAACACACTGCCCTGGACAGCAAGTACCTTCAGGGTCCTGAGTGAGTCGGACAGCTCCGAGCTAAGCTGCACATCAATGTCAGGGGCCTGATACCTAGAGAGGAAAGAGGGGCATTCGGAGTAAGGGGAGTTAGCCCCTGACAGGTCAGGGACACCAAGTCCAAACCTCCCTCCTGGGGAAAGCCTGGGCCTCTGAAAACCTAGAGCTTTGGGGTACCTCCCAGGAGAGGCCTCCTGGCCAAAGGCAGGAAGGCATTAGGATGTGGAGTCTGGGCCCTTCCCCAGCCTCCCCCAGATCCCCAGCCCGGGCCTCACTTGAGCCGCCCCAGCCTGCGGGGCTTGTTGGCCTCAGCCAGCCGCTGTGCTTGCCGTCGCCTCCGCCGCAAAGCCAGCTCTTCCAGTCGCCGGGCCACTTGGGCCTTGATCCCACGTAGCCGGAAGAGCTCCTGATGCCGGAGCCGGGCAGCTCGCACTGCCACCTGCTGTGCCCGCTGTGGGAGAGAGTGGGATCAAGGCCCACCCAGTGCTATCCATCCTTGGGGGCCTTCCCTTCCGAACCCCGGCATCAGCTGCTCCAGTGGTTTCACAGCAGCTGTTTTGTGAAACCACCTTCACTATCCACTTGCTTCTGTGCAATCCATAAACCTTAGCCCCTCCCCCAGAGTGCCAGAGACCCCAATACCCCATCCCAGCATGGAAGCTACTGGGAAACAGCAGGTCTCAGTGGACAAAGCAGCTGAGAGGGTTCCAAGCAGCATGAACTGCAGACCACGGAGTAGGACAGGGTAGACTGCCAGCAAGACCCAGCAGAGATCACAGGCAGCCCATGAGCAGCACGGCCAGGTGCTCACCAGGCTGCGGGCGGCCTTCTCCCGCCGCCGTTGCTGCTCCGTCTTCTTCTCAGCAGTGGCTAGGCGGATGGGTGGGGTACAGGCCTCAGCTTCTCCAGCCTCAGGGCTCTCACCCATCTGGCCTGGCTCCCCCTCATCGTCAGACTCCTCCAATAGCCCCTGGCATAGCTCTCGGAATGTAGACTCCTGAGGGCAGAACAGCAGTGTCTGGGGTGGGGGCGGGTGGGGAGAGGAGGGGTAGGCAGGTGTGAGGCTCACCTGGATGGCAGCTTACCTGGGTAGCAGCCTGCTCCCCGGCAGGCAGGGCTAGCTGCCGCTCCAGCTTCTCCACCTCCTTCTGCCGCTGCAGCTCTACCTCATGGGCTGCAGAGAGGAGGGTCTGCGGGGGAGGGTATAGGGGTTGGGTGAGGATTTCACAGACCTGACCCTCTTGCCCCCACCTGCCCTGGGCCCTGGCCTGGCCCCCTCTCTTCTACCATCCTACTCATGGCAGCCAGAGGAAGCTTCCTAACTCTCATTCTCATGGCTGTCCTGTTTGTCTGTGAGAAGCCATCTGGCCTCCACCCTTTAATGCCATATACATGAAGTGTCTGTGGAAATGTCTGTCTTGTCATGGGCAAGTCCCTAGAGACAGGAAGCTTAGTGGCTGCCGAAGACTAAGGGAGACAGGGAATTGGGGAGCAATGGTTATGGACCTGAAGTTTCGCTGGGGGATGATGAAAACTCTAAAATTAACTGTGGTGGTTGTAAACTGGTCACTAAAAACCACCAGGTCACACATTTTTAGTGGGTGACTACAAAGTTTAAGTCACAGAGCTGCAAAGCAGTTATACACATATGGAAACACAAAATAGACTGATCTGATGCCTCTTCTCACACGGCCCACCCATTCACGTCTGGTCCATGCTGAACAGACCAGAGTTTAGTTGTACCCTCTGCTGGGGCCAGCCTTGCCCTTGGAATAGTGGGAGCCCTGTTACTGCTTCCTGCAGATTATCACTGCCCAGAGATGGCATGCTGCCCTCTAATGCCTAAGAGCCCTGTGCTCTAACATCACTGAACCCTGTTTGAACCAGCACCCAGCCTCTACTGCAATCATCTCGAGTCTCCTCAGTAACCTGGCCGTTAGAACACATACTCTTGGTTCCCTTTGTTCACAACACCTGTGCTCAACATAGTCTGTTAATAGGAACAGGTCTGCCCACCCCCATGCACCCCTCTATGAGACAATAAGCCTGTGAGGACAGGCCTAAGGCTGTCTTGGTCACATCTGAGTCCCCAGCACCATCCAGCACAAGCCAAGCTCCTAGCGAGGGCATGCCAGCAAGTGGCAGAGCTCAACTGAGAGGGCTGGCTGGGCCGGGGCTGTGCACCTGGTGGTCTTCAAACGATGGGTTGTAAGAGGCTCCAGCGGGCATCACCTCCACAGCGGGTGCCTGGGAGGGCTTGGTGTGGAGACGTGGTGGTCGCTGGGAAGACAGAGATAGGGTCTTTAGGAGGTGATCAAGTAATGAAAACCATCCACTCCTGAATGGGATTAACACTGGATAAAAGACCTCTGGGTGACTTGAGCACACATTTCACTCCCAGACTATCTATATCCCTCCCTGTCTGGTCTCCACCCCAGCAAAGGCCCTGCTGATCACTAACATAAGCCTGGGGGCCACCTGGATGCCCCCCAAGCTCCTGCTACACCAACTACCAGTAAGTCCTGGTGCTTCTGCCCTAGAATTTTGTCCCTGATTATGTCCAGCCCCACCCCAGCTGTCACAGGGCTCTACCCTCATGCCCTTGGCTCCCAGCATCTCTAGACCTATTCGCTCACCTGGCCACAGTCCAACCTCCTCAGAGTGGCCACCAAGATCCCACCACACCCCACTGAGAAAAACCCAGCCACGAGGCCTGCACTCCTTCCCCAACCACACTGGCCTCCTCAGGGTTCTGAAAACATGCTCAGCCCTTGCTCACATCTCTGCACTTGCTATGCCCCTGGCCTGCAGGCTCTCTCCTCCAATCTCAGGGCATGACTTGCTCCCTCATCCCCTCCCAGGTCTCTAACCCCACAGGAAGTAGAGTCTTTCCAACTGAGGGTTCCCCTGTCCTCCCTAAGCCATGTCTTGCTGACCTGCCACACATGGAACCCTTTCTCGTGGAAGAAACAACCGCAGCCCAACCATCCCCCAACCCCTTTATTCCTTGCCACATTCCAGCACCCAGCAGGGATAAGACCCCTGGGCTCTAACACTTGGGATCCAGCAGCTCAAAACGAAGGCTACACACAAATCAGAAACTAAAACAGACGACACACCTGTCACGTGCCAAGGACTGTTTTCAGCCTTTGCGTGCATCACCCCTTAAAATACTCCTAACCGTCCCATAAGCCAAGCACAATTTTTTCTTTTTCTTTTTTTTTTTGAGACAGAGTCTCACTTTATCGTCCTAGGTAGAGTGCCGTGTCATCACAGCTCACAGCAACCTCCAGCTCCCGGGCTTAGCCGATTCTCTTGCCTCAGGCTCCCAAGTAGCTGAGACTATAGACACCTGCCACAACGCCCAGATTTTTTGTTGCAGTTTGGCCAGGGCCAGGTTCGAACTGACCACACTCAGTATATGGGGCCAGCGCCCTACTCACCGAGCCACAGGTGCCAAGCACAATTTCATCTGACACAAGAAGGAACAGGACACAGAGAGGTTGGGCCATTCTCCCAGATTAGCACCAGATTAGAGCTGGGACAGGAACCCTGGCTCCCAAAGGGGGTTCTTGGTTATGGGGATGAGACCAAGCTCTGTGGCCCAATTGCAGAGTAGCTCCCGCTGCCCCCAGCCCCTCTACAGCACCCCTACACGCCATCCTCACCTTCACTCCTTTCCTTTTGGTCTGCTCCAGGAAAAACTCATCTTGGTCAACCAACGGCCTCTCCAGAGGGTCTGTGGAGACAGAGAGGGCACCTGCTGGGGGCTTTCTCAGCATGGGAGACGGCTGTGGCCCCCTCCCTCCAATCTCTCTGCATTTCAAAAGGGTGGTACTAAAGCTCAGGCAAGGGAAGGACAGATTCCCAGACCCCAAGGGGCCTTGAAAAGGAAACAAAACCTGCCTGAACAGCATTCAGAAAGTAGAGAGACTCAAGGCTGAGGGTAGGAACCCTCATAACTCAGGAAAGGCAGGCACAAAGGGGAGGAGGGTGCCACTACAGGATGTTCAACTCTGCTGGGAAATCATCAAAGCAATACCCACATAGGACCCCCTTAGACACTGTGCTCTTGTATAGTGCACAACACACACAACTGCATGATAGGCCTGTCCCTGTTCACAGGTGACAGCAAGATCACTCACTGTCTGGGGCCCAGAGATCGTAGAAGGGCCGCTCAACAACATCCTGGGGGTCAGCCTTGGCCTTGGCCACAGGTGGGTTGAGAATCCGGGCCTGGGCCCTGCGCACCTCCCGGGGCAGCTCGCCCTGCTTTGCCAGCTTCTCCCATAGCTGCTCCTTCCGCCTGAGTTTCTTGGCATTGGGGACCTGGTGAGCGAGGATGCTGGTTGGGGAGAGATGGCACAGTGAGGTGGGTGGGGTAGGTGAGGTGACAACCCAAGAAGCAGCCAGGTCTCCTAATTGGGCCCCCACCATTCAAGCAGTTCCTTCTCCTGAAAGCCCTCTCCAAAAGGCTATACCTAGTCCCTCCTTCAGAAACCCCTCTCTCCCTAGGTCTGTTTCCAGCCTAGGCTTCTCTTCTGAGCTCCACAATTGCCTAAGCAATAGCCTTGTCCTAGGCATCCCCTAAGCACTTCACACCCACCACATCAAAACGAATCTCAGCATCACCTGAAAACCCACCCCCTCTCCCACACATCTATCTCAGGGCAGCCTGGCTATTTCCTTGTCACCTGTCCACCCCCTCCCCCTATGGCACTGAGCCTCTAGGCTCTGCCTGATGCACCTCCTGAACACGGCTCCCACCCATTCCCTCCTTTCTACCCTCAAAGTCCCCAGCTAGGTCCAGACCCATCCTTGCCTGCCTCAGCCCAAGAATCCTGGCACCCTCCAGGGTGTCCAGTCTCACTCCCTCCAAAGCCCAAATCTGACCCTACTCTCCCCTCCCAATGACCTCCATCTATTGTCTGCCCCCAGAATCCTTTACAACTGGGATCTGGTGGGAAAGAAGGGCCTGAAAGTGTTGGCATACTCACTCTTTTGGGGCAGGGATCTTAGATGTGTTCTCAAGGATGAGATCAACCCGAAGGGGTTTCTTGAGAAGCAGAGATTTCTTCTGGACTTTGGTCCTCTTCTTTTTCAGTTCTGGGAATGGAAGAAACAGTCAAGGCCTCAGGCCTCCCCACTACCAAGGACCAACAACCTCCCACCCCACCACCCCCATCAACTTTCAGCTCCATTGGACCCATGGTATCTAAATCTGGAGTCATCTCAATGCAGACTTGGGAGGTCCCAAGCCCTGACCCTCCATCACATCCATATGCTGGGTCAGCAGGAGGGAGGTTCTGTGCTGCGGAGGTCCCTTAAACTGTTGAGCTCAAGTTATCCTCTTGCCTCACCCTCTAAAGTACCTGGGACTACAGGTGCCCACCACAATGCCATGCTAGTTTTAGAGGCTGAGTCTCACTCTTGTTCAGGTTGGTCTCAAAATCCTGAGCTCCAGCAATCCACCCGCCTCAGCATCTCAAAGTGCTAGGATTACAGGCGTGAACCACGGCACCCAGCCCTTATTTCTAGCCTACTCATCAAGGCAGACCCCTACCAAAACTTATGTGCACAAGGACATTACTGACACCTTAAAAAAAAAAAAATCTGCCGTTTTAAAGTTAGTCTGTAGCTTGCTTTTTGTCCACTCAAGGTCTTCATGTTTATATTAAAGCTGGCCCTTTTTAGCAGGCTGTTTGCCTTCCAAGCCACGTCATTAACACAGGTTTCAGAGGCTGCAGACCACAAAAGCTCCTCCTCACCTTTTTCCTTGAAGCCAGTGTCCACGAAGAAGAGTTTATCATCAGGGGCCTCTGACAACAAACCTCTGGGAGATGGAAACGCATTACATCAGCCAAAGATATTGGAGGAGGAAACAGGTTTAACCTCACAGGGTCCAGTCTTCCTCTTAGGCTCACTAAGCCACCCTCTTCCCAACATGGGACTGTTCTACGCTAAGGCATCGCCCATCAGTTTACAGAGCTAGTACTTAAAATACATCAATTTCGCTAAATCTGGTAACTAATGAGTTCCCCCAGCTTCCCATCTTGAGTCCCCAGCCAACATTGCCCATTTCCCTGACAGTACCAGGGACAGACGCCTCTCAGCCTCCCGGAAGTCTCCCCAAGCTCGCTCTCCAGCCCCTGGCCACACAGAACTTGGTCCCCAGCTTCCGGAAGTCCCGCCCCACGTACCCGCTTGTGCGTTCCTGCAATCGCACGTCCTCTAGGAACTGATCAACCTCCAGCCCCAGGGGCTCCTGAGCCAGCCGCCGCCAGCCTCGCTTCTTATTTCTCGGGCCTCGTCGCCTCCGCCTTAACGCCGGGTCCACCGAAGTGGGCCGCAGTCCCAAAAAGCCGGAATCTGCCTTGCTTTTCGAGCCAGGCCTACTACCGCCGCCGCCGCCCCCCGCCGCCATCTTGTCAGAGGAAGAAACTTGTCGCTGATGCCCCTAAAAAGCCCGTTTGGGACGTGCGCGCGCAGATTTCCCAGCCTCTCTGGTGACGTATTTCCTGTGACAGCCATCTTGGTATAGTGGCGAAGGGGCGAGGAGGCTGCCATCTTGGCTAAGGATAAACGGCTCCTCCCTCCGCTCTACTTCGCTAGATCTTCAGATTCCTTGTGCTAATCGGCAGGGCGGTGGGGACTGAGGTTGTAAGTCCTTGGAGCTCACCTAAGCAAAACACCTTTCCTTGCCTCCTCAGTCTTTGCTCAATCTGATTTTTTTTAATTTTTTTTTTTTACTTTTGAGACAGAGCCTCGCCCTGTCCTTCAGGTAGAGTGTGTGGGGTCAGCCTAACTCACAGCAACCTCAAACTCCTGGGTTCAAGCGATCGTCCTCCCGAGTAGCTGGGACTAAAGACGTGTGCCACCATGCCCGGCTAATTGTCCTGTTTTTTAGTGGAGATTTAAGGGATCCTATCCCGCTCGGCCTCCCAAAGAATCGCGTTTTCTTAAAAGCGAAAACTCAGAACCATTAGTGGCAGATTCCGCACAAGACACGTTCCAATCTCAGAACGTTTGTCCTCTCAATGCGCAATCCCAGAATATTAACAATCGAAGAATTTAGGAATGTCTAAGTTGGAAGCACAGAGCGTTATATTTGAGGGATATTAGAAACGTATACTAGTGGGACCCTAGAAGTGCTGAGTGCGAATCTTTCATCTTGGACAAAATGCTTCACTGTGTCTCAGTTTCCTCATCTGTATAACAAGGATGATAAAGGTACAGCTGCCCCATGGATTATTCTGAAGATTAAACCAAGATAATAAATGTAAAGCGCTGAAGGCTTTGTCGGGCATGTCAGTATTAGCTATTCTTACCTCTTCGCCCCCTGAGACTCTATTATAAAATCAACTTATCTTTGCTATTTACAAATAAGGAAGAAAACTCAGAGGCTCTTGGGTCCTGGCAACCATCCAAAGGGATCCAGGGCCTCAGGAAGGTCATTTTTAACTCACAAAAGAGCAAGGCACATAGAGGGAAGGTGCCACACAGGTGGCCACACAACGGAACTCAGCTGGACCCTGGAAATGACAAGCGCCAGCGACTTGGGCGCCTACCGCTTGGGACAGGGTTTTCGGCTACAAGCCTGCCTGGCATCTCAGTGTCCGCCAGAGGGCGCGGGGAGCCGCGAAACCGAGCTGGCGTGGGCGGGAAGAGCGCAAGGCCAGCGTGGCCCGGGCGCCTGGGTCGCTGCCTTGGGTGTGTGCGACGAGATGCCGGTCGGCAGCATCACCTCCTCCCAGCTAGGAGTTCGCTTGTCTGTAATGTTACGTGTCAGGGGTTGTGTACCCAGGTTGTATGAGTGCAGGATGAGGGGCAGGGCGGGACGTGGGGAGGGGACCATGTGCTCAAGCTCACACTCACACACACCCCTCCTTCCCTGTGCTTGGTTCCCAGGCCCCCGCGGTGGGAGGAGGGAGGGAGGGATGTCCCGGAGGGAGGGCCCCAGAGTAACTTTTCTTCGGAAAATATGCCGGCTGGCCCCTAGCCCGGGCCTGAGTCACCAGGCTCTGCTGCGTTGAGTCACGGACTCCACCCCGCCCCTGAGAGCTCAGAGGGGACCTCCCCCCACCCTAAGTCCTGGGTCTAGGCTTCTCCTTCCCTGGTCCTGGGGGGAGGGGAGTTGATTCCCTACCCAAAACAGCCTGACTGCGACACAGAAGAAGCCTTGGCTTTATTCGCTCCGTGGGGACTGTGCCATTCACAGGCCTCTCCCAGGCATGGGGTGGGTCGGTGGTGGACGTGGGAATCCCAGGGAGAGGTATTGTCTCCATCCTTCTGCTCTTCCCTATCTTTTCCATGAGGCCCCCAGCCAGGGGGTGGTGAAGGCAGGAAAAGGCATGGGGCATCTCTTTAGGGATGGGGTGGGGGCTATAGCACCAGGAACACCCCCTCCCCCATTACAGCCCTGGAAAGGGGTCTAAAATAAAGCCCTGGGGCCTTCATATCTGACAGAGGCTCCACTTAAATATGGACTAATGGCTGGTGGAGAGGACCACCAGCTGGGAGGGGGGGAGGCGGCTGGGTGCTTCAATCCAGACACGTGGCCCCTTCAGTCCAGACAAGTGGCCCAGGACAGAAACACCTCCAAACAGACTCAATCCCTGAGGAGCAAGGATGGAATAAGATGGAGGAAGGGGCACTCCTGCCTGCTACAGGATCCCTGGCAAAGAAATGGGTGTAGCCAGAATTAGGGGGCTTTCCCAGAGGTGGGGTCTGAAGAGGGGTCCATTTGAGGAAGTAGGAGGTTATGTCTCCTTTCTGAGCCCTCAATGGTCCCAAGACCTGAGGATGTGATGGGCTTGGGCAGGAGGAAGTGGGGCAAGGGGACCTGCCCAGGATCAGTGTGTGTTTGTATGACTTTGTCAGTGCCCCCTTCTGAGAATGACAGCTCCACAAGGGCACAACCATATCAGTTTTGTTCTCTGCTGCATCCCCAGTGCTCAGAACAGGGCTAGGCACATAGTAGGTGCTTAATAAATATCTGAAGACATGATGAATGGATAGATGCGTGTGTGTGTGTGTGTGTATCAGTGTTGGCATGATGTGCCTGAGAGGTCAGAGGTGCGAAGCCTTGCCCCCCCCCACTAAACGCTTCAATTGGAGTGTGGCAGTAGCAGGAAGGGAAACCCCTGTCCTTACAGCTGGGTAGGGTGAGCAGGTAGGGTGTGCGTGAGCCAGAGCAGAGGCATGCATGTAGCTGAGGGAGCCACAAAGGGGCAAGTGGGAGGAAATGCCCTCGATAGGGCTGGCTCACTCCGCAGAGCCCTTGTGGCGCCGCTTGGAGGGTGGCACAAGGCGACGGGGCAAGTTGGCAGGCAGCCCGTGGCCCTCGAGCTTGGCCTCAATGAGGTGGCTGGCCAGGGCGAACTCCTCGTCATCCAGCATGCCGTCACGGTCAACATCGCTCAGCTTCCAGATGCGCCCCAGCACTGAGTTGGGGAGCTTGGTACCCACCATCCAGGTCTTGGCCTTGGAGCCACTCAGCTTGCCATCAGCAGGTGCCAGGTTATAGAAGATCTCGTCGTATTTGGACTTGTCCTTGGTCACCACCCACTCAGTTTCATCATCCGAGCCCTCCTCACCATCCTCCAGGGCCTCGTCAGGACCCCGCTCCACAAATGGGCCCATGTGGGTACCCTCAAAAGCACCGCCCTGCACACCCGCCTCGGTGCTCTCCAGCTCCTCCTGCCGCAGCAGGGGCATGAGCTTGGCAATGTCGTGCGTCAGCATCTCATCCAGCGATTCCAGCAGCTTCGGCTTCAGTGAGTGGAACTTGGTGAAGTCATGCGCCATCAGCATCTCCTGTGGTGGGGGGTGGGTGGAGACACCAAGAAGTCAGGAGTGCCATCCATCCCTGAGGCCTTCAGGCTGCGGGGTGGCAGCTCTTTACCAACAGATGCAGACATATTTGAATCTCTGAACAACCTGTATCACTTGGGCACCAACCACTCAGAAGACACTTAGGCAAAGCAGACTCAGAGGCCCTCCCCTGGGCCCCAGAATTTCTCGAGGGTAGGAAGGTCGGGGCCCTCTGATGACTCAGAGCAGCAGCTCTTTGCCAGCCAAAAGAGAAAGATTTCAATATTTTAGCATCAGGTACAGCTTTCCCCTGCTGGTCTTACTTAACCTTGCCCACACCCTCCACCTCACCCCAGTACCCAGCCATTTTTCAGATTAAGAAAATTCATTTCCTGCTGGTGTTTCCAAACTACAAAGAGCACTGAGTGTCTGGCTGCCATGTTAGGAGGTTATGCCTGGGAATATCAGATCATTAGAGAATCCTGGGATTACCCCCACCCCTGCCCCAACCAAGAAGTTATTTTGTGCTAGAGCATCTATCAGGGTGGGTTGATGGCCACACTAGGGCATCTCTAGGTCCCTTGTGCCAGGAGAGTCCCTGCAAGGGTGGCGTAATTTCACAGCTCCATGTGAATTTCCACTGCTGGAAAGAGACAGAGAGGCCAGCCCAGCTAGGGGGCCGGGCTCCCAGCTTCCACCCCAGCTTGGCCGCTTAGGAGCTATATGTCCTGAAGCAAGTGACTTCACCTCTCTGGGCCTCAGTTTCCACATTAGTAAAATGAGTGATAACCTTAGCACTCCTTTCATCTAGGGAACAGGGAAGCCCAAGCATTCATCTGGAAAAAGTGCTCAATGAATGTTATTGTAGAGTTAGCAGCTGCAATTCACCTAGCCCAGATGTTCTCAGCCAGTGTTGACGATGTTCCCCCAGGGAACTCTTGGCAACATCCAGAGACATTTTTGATTCTCATGACTCAAGGGTGTTACTGCCATCCAGTGGGTAGAGGCCAGGGATGCTGCCAAACACCCCCGAATACCCAGGACAGTGCCCTAAAACCAAGGATTACAGACCTCAGGTGTCAGCACTGCTGAGGTTGGGAAACCTTCTGGCTCATATTAGGTGCCAGGCTGTGCTGAGTGGTTGCAAACAGTTACTGATTCAGCACCTATGACAAGACCTTGATGCTAATATAATTAATGCCCATTTTCCAACGGAAGAAACAGGCTCAGTAAAGCCATGACTTGTCCAACCCCACAGAGTTAGTAAGTGGCCAAGGTGAAATTCACTCTACCAAAAATCCCGCAGAGTATGGGCTGAAAATATAGTTCAGATTTAAAAGTCACGTGCTGACTGGGCAGGGTGGTTCATACCTAGTAATTCTAGCAAATCTGGGAGGCCGATGTGGGTGGATTGCTTGAGTTCAGGAGTTCAAGCAAGACCTCGTCTCTACTAAAAATAGACAAACTAGCTGTGCCTGGTGGCGGGAGGGAGCCTGTAGTCCCAGCTCCTCAAGAGGCTGAGGCAAGCGGATCACTTAAGCCCAAGAGTTTGAGGTTGCTGTGAGCTATGATGCCATAGCACTCTATCCAAGGTGACAGATTGAGACTGTCTCAAAAAAAAAAAAGAGTCATGGGCTTTGGGCTGAGCACAGGGGTACACACCTGTAGTCCAGGTCACTTGGGAAGCAAGAGGTAGAGGGCCACTTGTGGCCAAGACTTGGAGGCTGCAGGGAGCTGTGGTCCCACTTGTGAACAGCCACTGCACTCCAGCCTGGGCAGCATAGTGAGACCTCATTCTAAGTAAATAAAAGTCACAGCCTGTAAATATCACTTTAACAGAGATCCAGCGGGGGGGGGCTGGTCCCTGCCTGGAACTGTCCCCACATTCATTTGCTCAAACCTGCCCCTCTCACCTCTAGTGGCACTGTGTTTACACTGTGCCACCACACCCAGATCCAGATCCAGCACTTTCTTTCTTTTTCTTTTTCTTTTGTTTTTTTGAGACAAGAGTCTCACTCTGGGACCTGGGTAGAGTGCCGTGGTGTCATAGCTCACAGCAACCTCAATCTACTGGACTTGACTGATCATCCTGCTCAGCCTCCCAAGTAGCTGGGACTACAGGCGCCCATCACACCATTTGGCTAATTTTTTTATTTTTAGTAGAGATGGGGGTCTCGCTCTTGCTCAGGCTGGTCTTGAACTCCTGAGCTCAAATAATCCACCTTCCTTAGCCTCCCAGAGTGCTGGGATTACATGTGGCAGCCACACTGCCTGCCCTGTTTTGGGTTTTTTCCTTCAGTCCCCCCTAAAACCATGCTCCTGAGGAACCATTTGCAGGAAGTGCTTTCCATAATCTGCCATCCACCCTAGAGCTCGCAGGAGCCTTCCTTCCCCCGACCTCCACTCCCACCTGGGCAACCACCCACCTGCATCTTTTGGCAATCAGGAAAATCCCCAGGAGATATGTGGTGCTCCAGCTGAATCTTAGCAAAGATGACAGGCAGTTTAAGGATCAGCTGTTTCTTCTTATTCTCCTTCCCAAACACAGAAGGCATCTCCTTCTTCAGGTAGCTGATGATGTAGGCATGAACCTGGGGGAGAAGAGGGCTCACCTGAGTCCCCTGGAGAGCTGGTTTAAACCCAAGTTGCCAGGCACATTCCCAGAGTTTCTGATACACTTATCCGGGGTTGGGCTCAAGGGTTTGAACTTCTAACAAGTTCATAGCTGTTGCTGCAAGGGGCAGAGCTTCACTGTGCACCCCAACTCCTCACATGATAGGCCTCAACTGGGGCTCCTCCCATCTTCTAAGTGATCCCACCAGCTCCCAGTTTGAAACACCCCTCAAGCCACCCCCTCCTCTCCCTGGAGCCCAAGACTCAGAGCTAATTGCCTCATCCATATTCCCAGATATCTCCCTGTCATGACCCCCTAAGTGGAATTTGGGCCCAGTCTCCAGACCTGTGATACCCTCAGCTGGGCTCACCTCCAGAATCAGCACCCCCAGTCCTGCCTTCCCAGTCGAGGCCAGGAATCTGGAACTTATTCCTGCCTAGATTCTTCTCTGTCCTTACTGGCCACATCCAACCCATCAATGAGCCTTTTTATTTTTGCCTCCTAAATCTCTGCCCTACTTCATTTTTCCACCCCAGTGGCCACCACATTCATCCAGCCATCATCACTGCTTGCCTGGAGAGATACTCCAATGGCCCAATAGTGTCCCCTCTCGCCCAGACAGCCCTTCCTCCACTCAGCAGCAGCCCAAGCAAGGGTTTTCAGGGATCAACACCAAGCTCTGAGACGCTACCAAGGCAGATGGATTGCCTGAGCTCACAGGTTCGAGACCAACCTGAGCAAGAGCAAGACCCCTGTCTCTAAAACATAGCCAGGCATTGTGGCAGGTGCCTGTAGTCCCAGCTACTTGGGAGGCTGAGGCAAGAGGATCACTTGAACCCAAGAGTTTGAGGTTGCTGTGAGTTATGACGCCATGGCACTCTTTGAAGGGTGACCAAGTGAGACTCTGTCTCAAAAAAAAAAAAAAATACTCCCAATTTGCTTATCTAAGTTCAAAATTCCTACCAACACAGCCCTACAGCAGCAATTCTCAAGATGTGGTCCAGGGAACCTCGGGGGTTCTCGTGCTCAAAACTATTTTATAATGACAACAACAGTAAGACTTATTGGCCTTTTTCACTCTCATTTCCTCCCAAGCAGACAGAGGGGAGTCTTTAAGAGGCTATAAGACCTGTGATACCACAACAGGCAAATAGAAAAACAGATATCAGAATCCAGTGGAAGCCAGACATTAAAGAGTTTTGCAAAAATGTAAAACAGATCCACTTCCCTTGTTTTTTTTTGAGGGGGAGGATTTGGAAAATTGTTAATTTTCATAAAATGTTATTTAGGTTAACGGGCAATAAGTTTATGATTGTTATTTATAAATTATCTTATACTATTATTAACATTTGTTCATGATAAATGAACATCAACAATTTGTTGATAACATTTATCATAAATCATTATATATTAATAAGTAATTATTGTTGTTTAATATTATGATTATAAATATTAGATGTTTTTAACTTTTAATATTATAAATATGGACAAATTTAATCTATTTACAAACAAGCTCTTTAGAGTCTTCAATTTTTTTTCTTTTTTTTTTTTTTTTTGAGACAGAATCTCACTCTGTTGCCCTGGGTAGAGTGCTGTGGTGTCATAGCACACAGCAACTTCAAACTCCTGGGCTCAAGGGTCCCTCTTGCCTCAGCTTCCTGAGTATATGGGACTATAGGTGTGCACCACTATGCCTGGCTATTTTTTCTATTCTTTTTTTTTTTTTTTTGAGACGGAGCCTGAAGCTATCCCCTTGGGTAGAGTGTCACGGCATCACAGCTCACAGCAGCCTCCAACTCCTGGGCTCAAGCGAGTCTCCTGCCTCAGCCTCCCAAGTAGCTGGGACTACAGGCGCCTGCCACAGTGCCTGGCCATTTTTTGGTTGCAGCCATCATTGTTGTTTGGCGGGCCCGGGCTGGGGATTCGAACCCGCCACCTTAGGTGTATGTGGCTGGCACCTTAGCCGCTTGAGCCACAGGTGCCGAGCCTATTTTTTCTATTTTTAATAGAAACGAGGTCTCTCTCTTGCTCAGGCTAGTCTCAAACTCCTGAGCTCAAGCAATCCACCCAACCCACATGGCCTCCCAGAGTGCTAGGATTACAGGCATGGGCCACTGAACCCAGCTAGTCTTCAATAATTTTTTGAGACAGAATCTCACTTTGTTGCCCTCAGTAGAGTGCCATGCTGTCAGCAACCTCCAACTCTTGGGCTCAAGCGATTCTCTTGCCTCAGCCTCCTAAGTAATTAGGACTACAGGCACCCTCCACAACACCTGGCTATTTTAGAGATGAAGTCTCACTCTGGCTTAGGCTGGTCTCAAACCTATAAGCTCTAGCGATCCATCCACTTCAGCCTCCCAGAGTGCTAGGATTACAGGCGTGAGCCACCGTCCCCAGCTGTCTTCAATAATTTTTAAGAGTATAAAGGGAGTAAGAAGCGCCTCTACTCCCAATGCTAGGGAGGCAAAGGTGGAAAGATCACCTGAGCCCATGAGTTTGAGACCAGCCTGGGCAATACAGTGAGACCCTATCTCAAAAACAAACAAACAAACAAACAAAAGGAAAAGGGGGTCTTGAGACCAAAAGGTTTGAGCACTGCTGCTCTACTCAGTCTGGCTCCTGCAGAATCATCCAACATCATCTCTCCCTATTCTACCTTTGCTCACTAGAGCAGCTTCCTTACTCACCCACCTTGCTTACCCAGCATGCCAGTCTTCATCCCACCCCAGGACCTTTGCACACGCCCCTTGCTTTGCCTGGAACTCTGCCCCTGTCTCCCCACAGTTGGCTCACTCAACATCCAAGAGGGTCATAGAGGCTATCCTATGAGGACAAAGTGCCCCACACATCACCATCAGATTTTCAACTTTCGCATCTATTATTTTGTTCACAATTATTCTAACTCACCATTATTTTATTGTCAGTTTATTTATTCTGTCTCCCTCCATAGAAATATGAGCTCCATGAAGGCTAGGACCTTGTCTGTCCCCAACATCCAACAAAATGGGCACAGAAAGCAGCCAAGAAATGTTTGTGGAATAAACCAATGAACTTGGGAATTTTTTTTTCTTTTGTAGAGACAGCGTTTCACTTTATCACCCTTGGTAGAGTACTGTGGCATCACACAACTCACAGCAACCTCCAACTCCTCAGCTTAGGTGATTCCCTTGCTTCAGCCTCTCAATGAACTTGGGAATTTTTGAGCCACAATCTTATAATACTAAAAAAATTAAGTAGGAGGGCAGAATAATGAGTATTGGTATGTCTATTTTTTGTAGGAAAACTCAATAATTAAATATACATGCTTACATAAAAACAGAATCTATCCAGAAAGAGATGCAAGAAAATGCTTATGGGGCTTCCCTCTAGGGAAGAGAACCTGAGAGCTGGGGGCCCCAGGGGTGGGAAAGGGCATGTCTGACACAGAACGAATGCTTTACCCTGAGATGGTCCTAAATGTTCAACAGAAAAGATTTGTTTAAAAAATTATTTTAGGCTCAGCGGCTAGGGTCCCAGCCACATACACTGGGGCAGATGGGTTAGAACCCAGCCCAGGCCTGCCAAACAATGACAACTACAACAAAAAAATAGTAAGGTGTTGTGATAGGCACCTGTAGTCTCAGCTACTTGGGAGGCTGAGGCAAGAGAATTGCTTAATGCCAAGAGTTTGAGGTTACTGTGAGCTGTGATGTCACAGCACTCTACCAAGGGCAACATAATGAGCCTCTGTCTCAAAAAAAAAAAAATCATTTTAGGGACTGAGCAAAAAAACAAGACCCCTGTCTCTACTAAAAATGGAAAAACTAGTCAGTCATTGTGGCAGGCATCTTTAGTCCCAGCTACTTGGGAGGCTGAGGGAAGAAGATCACTTGAGCCCAAGAGTTTGAGGTTGCTGTGAGTTAAGGTGATGCCACAGCACTCTACCCAGGGTGACAGAGAGAGAAGGTCTCCAAAAACAAAAAAGAAAAAAAATTATTTTAAAGAGACATAAGTTTAGAGTGTTAATGATAATGGCCCCTGGCTGGTTCTTAACTCTTATCTCCTTCCACCCCTCAGTAGCCTGTCTCCTCCAGACCAAGGCTCCTTGTTCAAGTGCATCACACATGTTGCTGCCTCAGGGCCTTTGCACCTGCTGTTCCCTTTGCATGGAACACCTTTCCACCAGATTTCCACGCAGCTCTCCCCTGCCTCTCCTTTAGACATCACTAAACTAGTCCCTCACCAGCCTCCCTTTGCTCTGCTTCATTTTCCTTCACAACCATTAATTTAATATCTGCTCCCCCACTAAAAAGTAATTCAAGCAGAGAAGCTTATCTGGGTTTGTGCCCTGAAGCATTCTCAGGGCCTAGAAGAGTATCAGAGCTCAGTGACTTCTGAATGTCATTGGGCCACCTCAGAAATTTTTAGTCTGTCTGAAGGTAGGGCATCTGGGCCTCTTTAGAATCGGATCTTCCAGCCAGGTGCGGGGGCTCACACCTGTAATCCTAGTACTCTGGGAGGCTGAGGCAGGTGGATCGCTTGAGCTCATGAGTTTGAAACCAGCCTGAACAGGAGTGAGACCCCAGCTCTAAAAAATAGCTGGGCATTGTGCCAGGTGCCTGTAGTCCCAGCTACTTGGGATGCTGAGGCAAGAGGATCTCGTGAGCCCAAGAGTTTGAGGTTGCTGTGAGGAATGACGCCACAGCACTCTACCAGGGCAAGAAGGTTAGACTATGTCTCAAAATAAATAAATTAATTAATTAATTAATTTAATTAAATAAAAATAAAAAATAGAATCAGACCTTCCCATGATCTTGGCCTTGACTATCACAGCATCATGGAACTGCCCCCTCTGGAAGTTATCACTTCAAGCAAAAGGGCAGAGTCAGAGGACATATCCACACTCTACATCGTACTGATTGGGAAAATGAGGCCCAGAGGGCTAGGGGTTACTGAGAATCCAGAAAGGCCCTGTACAATTGGAGAACAAGAAGGGAGGTAAACAGTGTGGCAGAAACATACGTGAGGTATGGGGAGGTGTGACAAGAGGCAGGTGAGGGGGCAGTGAGACTTGGTCACAGGGAACTCTAAATGTCATTCTCCCTTGTTCTGAGCGGCACTGGGGAGCCAGGGATGAATCTGCAGGAAGAGGGAGAAGGCGGGGCCTATAGGGCCAATCAGGGCAGGGGTGTGGCCAGCCTGGGGGAGGGGGCCTGCAAGCAAGCCAATGGGGTGAAGGGACGGGGCCTAAGAGAGCCTTCGTAGGGACCCCAGGAGAGAGGAGAGAGGAGAGAGGAGGGAGGCTGGAGGGCGCTGATGGCTTTTCCAGAGAGGAAGCAGGAGAAGGTGCCAGGAAGAGATAAGGTGGGAGGGCCGGGACGCGGGTCCCGGACTCCGGGGTTTGTCTTCGTTTCCGGAGCCGCCCCCTGACTGGCGGGCGCACCAGGTGTCTGGCCGGGTCCCTCCCCCTTTGTCCCACAGCCCTGGGCTCTAGCTACCGTGGAGGAACGAAGCAGGGGGGATCTGGAAATGACTGAGGAAGACAGGGAAAGGACAGAGGGAAGAGGAGAGAGAGGGAGAGATAGAGAGAAATAGAGGTGGAGACAGAGAGAGAGAGAGAGAGAGAAGAAAAGGGAGTTAAAGAAAGAATAAGAACCTAATGTCATTTATTCAATAAGGGAAGGAAAGAAACCGAGAAAGGTAGTAATGAGGGTAATTTAGGGGGGTGCGTTTCTCCTTCTCACACACACACAAATGGAGGGGCAGACGCTTCGGAGCCTGCCTTGGTGGAGGAGAGAAAGGTGAATTCCAAAGGTTCCAGGAGGAGCAGCTACAGTCCAGTCCACCCTGGGCAGCTCCCTCCCAAGAATTCCTGGGGTGGGGGTGGGGGCTCTGACTCACTCCCTCTCCTCTGCTCCTCAAACCAATGCCTCAGGCTCCTCCACCCCCCAGAACCTTCTTGGCCTCCCAGCCTGCCCAGCTTCCTGCCCCACCTCCACCCTGGCAGCCTCCCCTGTGAATGTTCCATTCAGCCTCCAAAATCACTCTTAAACCAGTGCTCTTGCTTTTCTGTCCTGCCTCAAGTCCCACCCTGATCCAAGTGCCTCCTAGCTTCTCTGTCCTCACCCTGGCCTCCAGGCCCCCAGTCTCATGCACCTTGAATCTACCCTCCAGAAGGTAGATTTGAGTCTACTCCTGTCCTTCCCCTGTGCTGAATCCTTCCATGGCTCCCCAGTGCCCTGAAGACAAAACAGGTTCCTCACAATCCCTGGTGGCATGATTCCCAGCCTCAAATTGAGTTACTTGCACTGTCTACCCTGGGTTCAACACTGCCATTTTTCCTCAGATGCCCTCTCCTCCAAGAAGACCTCCATGACTCCCTCTCTACTTGGTCCCAGCCCTAACCAACATAGGTCATTATCATCTAGGGGTGGGTCTGTCTTCTCCCCAGGAGCCCCAGCAGGGCAAGGCCAGAATTGCCTTGGTCATTGCTGTGTCCCCAGCACCACCCAACAAGGGTTGGGCACAGAGGAGATTTTGTTGAGTGTGTTTGTTTCATGTCATTCACTCAATAAATATTTACTGAGCACTCAATTCTGTTCCAGGCACTGAGAAAACAGCAATGAAAAAATTCAACACTCTCTCATTCTGTAGAACTTAAATACGAGTTAAAGAGGCAGACGCAGGTAAACGCAGAAACCCCATGAATGGGTAACATAAGGCCAGGCAGCCATGATGCTATAATGACAACTGTAACAGAGTAAAGGATAAAGTGGGACCCACATGGGGGGAGTTACAGTCACAAAAAGGAGAGCGGGGATGGCATTCCTGAAAAGGGGACATCTGAGTAGAGGCTCAGCAGAAGTGAGGAGTGAGCCTTGTGGATAGCCAGCTGACAAGGGCAAGGAGTGGGAAGAGGTTTCCAAGAGGAGGGAATAGCAAGTGCAAAGGCCTTGAGGTAGAATAGAGGTGGTCAGGGTGAAGTGCAACAAATGATGGGAAGGGAATGGGAGGTGAAGACAGGGAAAGGAGCGGAGGAAGGAAACAACTTGTGGGCCACTGTGAGGACTTGGCTTTTGCTCAGTGGCACTGGAGTTCTGAAGTACCCAAGGCATAATACAACCTGATTGGTGGTGGTGATGAGGGAAAGAATCCTAAGACAGAGGAGGCAGGGAGACACCGAGTTGACAGAAGCGCAAGGCAGAGGAACGTCTCGCCCTGAAGCAGGCCCTCCCACCTGGAAGAGAACTAACTCATCTGGAAGGTAAATCCGGGCGCAGGACAGCTTACCCGCACCAGCCTCGCCCTCTTCACCAGGTCATTGAGCTTGCGCAGGGCAGCGTGGCGAGGCAGGCCCTGGATGTCCCGGAAGAGGTCCTGCTCCTCCAGCTCAAAGAGGCGCCTGTTGTCCGGCACAAGAAGGGGCTGAGACCAGAAGGAGCCGATGTAGACTCGCAAAACCTCGGGCGTGCCCACCACCTTGCCCAGCGCCCACATGAGCGCCCCGTAGACCCGCATCAGCTGCTGCGTCTCCACCATGTCGGCCTTGTTGAGCACCACTCGGATCTTGTCCTCATGGCCCCGCAGGGCGTTGATGGCCTCGGAGAACTCGTCAGAGATTTCCAGCTTGTGTGCATCAAAGAGTAAGATGATAAGATCCACGCGCTCCGCAAACCAGCGCAGCACGGCTGGGAAGTCGTAGCCTGGGGGCGTGGGGGTAAGAGAGGCACCAGGGGCAGAAGTCAGACACCCTCACCCTCCAGTCAATCCATCACCTGCATTCCTTTGGACTAATATTGGACTGCACAGGTGCTCAGGTTGTTAACTATTCAAATCCTATCTGGGCGAAATAGCCTGGATCCCAAGTGCCTCACACTGCTCTGACTCCCTGGCCCACAGAATTTGCCCCTCACTCTGGCTTCAGCCCCTCAAGCCATCGGGCTACAGCGGGCAACACCTGCTTCCACCTTTTCATTCACTCATTGAGCAGACATTAGTGGTGAGCATCGTTAGGGGTGAAATAATGGAGTGTTTCCTATGAGACTTCCCTCCCTCAAACCTCCAAGTGCCTCTGTCACCCCAACTTCTCCCTTGGACCTGTCAGATCTCTCCCAAATCCAACAAGTTCATGCTGGATAGCTATCTTCTTGCCCTTAGCAGTTATTAAATAGTTTTAATTTATTTAGTGATACTGGGCGGTGCCTGTGGCTCAGTGGGTAGGGCGCCAGCCCCATATACCAAGGGTGGTGGGTTCAAACCTGGCTCCAGCCAAACTGCAACCAAAAAAAATAGATGGGCCTTGTGGTGGGCACTCAGGAGGCTGAGGCAAGAGAATCGCCTAAGCCCAGGAGTTGAAGGTTGCTGTGAGCTGTGTGATGCCACAGCACTCTACCAAGGGGGATAAAGTGAGACTCTGTCTCTACCAAAAAAAAAAAATCTAAAAAAATTTGAAAAATTTATTTAATGATATTTACCAAGAAGAGTTATATGTGTGCCAGGCTTTGTCCTGGGAGCTGAGGATACTACAGAGAACACACAGACAAGGTTCCTGCCCTCTGGAGTACCCATCCCAGCAATTGGCTCCTGGGTCCCTTCGTTCACTCCTTTCACCATTCATTTCCTTATTCATCCACCCACCCATTTTTGCTTTTGCTTGTTCACTCATTCATTCACCAACAAGGGACACTTGCATGGACAGAGAAGAATAATTGAGACTACCTGCCTTGGCAGTCAAGAAGACCTACACTGTGGCTCAGTGCTCATAGCTCAGTGGATAGGGCACCAGCCACATACACCAAGGCAGGTGGGTTTGACTCCAGCCTGGGCCTGCTAAACAACAATGACACTGCAACCAAAAAATAGTCAGGCATTGTGTAGGCGTCTGTAGTCCCAGCTACTTGGGAGGCTGAGGCAAAAGAATCGCTTAAACCCGAGAGTTTGAGGTTGCTGTGAGCTGTGACACCATAGGACTCTGTCTAAAAAAAAAAAGACCTACACTGCAATCCCTCCAGTGGCCTCATCAGCTGTGTGGCCTTAGGCAAGTAGCTTAACCTCTCTGAATTTGCTTCCTCTTCTAGAAAATGTAAATTATAATAGGACCTATGTCATAGGACTGCTGTGCTGTGAATATTAAAAGAATATAAATGAGCTAATATATATCAAGAACTTAAAATAATGCCTGGCATTGAAGCATACACCTAAAAAGGGTGAGCTTTATGGTATGTAAATTATACCTCAATAAAACAGAGGTTTTCTTGTTTGGGTTTTTTTTTTTTTTTTTTTTGAGACAGAGCTGCCTCGAGTTATGGCACTGGGTAGAGTGCTGCCTTGGCATCACAGCTCACAGGAACCTCTAACTCCTGGACTTAAGCAATTTTCTTGCCTCAGCCTCCCAAGTAGCTGGAACTATGGCGCCCACCACAACGCCTGGCTATTTTTTGGTTGTAGATGTCATTGTTGTTTGGCAGGTCCAGGCTAGATTCAAACCTGCCAGCTCTGGTGTATGTGGCTGGTGCCTTAGCCGCTTGAGCTACAGGCGCTGAGCATATTTTGCTTTTTTTTTTAAACAAACAGTGCTAGACACATGGGAAGTGCTCAACAAGTATTAGTCATAGTGCATTGCAGACACCAGGCAGGACAGTCATTCAAGACTGTCCCCTGCACTGGCTGATCTGTGGTGGAGGCTAAGGTAGCCCCTTACAGGCTCCCCCAAGTGGCCTGGCTGCAAAGGGGTACCCAGGGAGTTGTGGGAACTCAGAAGGGATGTCTGAACCAGCCTGAGCAATCAGAGAAGGCTTCCCAGAGGAGGGAACACTGGGGCCAGGGGCCATCATTGTGTTACTGACATCACATCATCCAGGATAGAACTAATCTTTAGAACCCCAGAAGACAGACACTTTTATGACCCTATTTTCCAGATGAGGAAACTGAGGCACAGAGAGGTTTTTAAAAAAACGTATTCAAGACACACAGGGGGAAAGAGATGACAGAGCAGGGACGCCATGCACCATGGGGGAGCTGGTGCTCAGGCCCATCCTGCCTGGGAGGGAGCAGGCTCCTTGATGGGGCTTCTGGGATTGGAGTGGGGGCATTGTTTGGGGGGGAGGAAGGGCCAGGTCACTGGAGGGACAGAAGTTGGAGGCCCCCTCCCTCCCCAAAGTCTACACAAACACATACACTGGCCTGGATTTGGAAAGTATGTCTCACCGGGCAGGGAGGGAAGGTGGGAGGGAGGTTGAGTCAGCATAGGAATAAGAGATGTGGCAGAAAAACCCTGGATACTCATAAGAAAAATAAGCATCATTAGCACTTATGTAGCACCTACTGTGTACCACATATTATTGTAAGTGCTTTGCATATTTTAACTAATTTAATCCTTACAGTACCCTGGGAGGCTGATATTCCCATTTTATAGATGAAAAAACTGAGGCACAGCATGGTTAAGTGGCTTGCCTACCCCAGGTCCCATCATTTAAAAGTAGCAGAGCCCTCAAATTTGGGCTACTAAATTCTACTAAAGTCACACACACATGTGTTCATAGTTCTTCATACCGAGGCACCCACACCTCCACACCAAGGTACACATACAAGCATACAAACAGACACATATACCCACACCTACCAGCACACATCTGGATACAACCCCAGCCAAGCACTACAAGACACATGCTCTCAGACATACCTTTATTCACAATCTGGGAACTGCACAGCTATTCATGGCTGCACAATTACAAAGACATGATGAGATCCACACACAATCACAAGCACAGTCACCAGCACACACATACACAAGCACAGAGGCACACTTGCACATGCACCGCCCTATAGGGACACACTTGGACTCACATAACCTTCAGGTTCTCCCAGACTCAAAGGCCCCTGCATAGATATAACCACACACAGAGTCACACAAAAGATACACTCTTGCACATACATGCTGACATCAGGGTCTGGAGATGCTGTCACATGCAGTCACACACAAAATCCCCTCAATCCTATCCTATTGCCCCACACAGGTACAACCACACACACACACACTCTATGTCTGGGGCCTCTCACACACAATGTCAGACTCATACCCAGGAATTATATACCTTCCCAGACACACACCAAATTACCCACACAATTAGACAAAAGATATCCTTAGACACTGACACACATACACATATTTCACAATACAACAAGACAGAGACACAATCAATGGCACACAACCCCATGGAGTCCCTCTCAGTCCTACTATACAGTTCTTCACAGTCACATCCAGCCACAATTACACAATTACAGGCACAAACAGACTTATACACAGAAGGTCTCACATGCATAGACATACAATTCCACCAGGTCACACAGCCTCAGAGCCATGACCACAATTACACACATCCACCAATACATGCAGTCACACACAAACACGTGTAGCCACCCACACCTAGCCATACACTCACACAACTTTCTCAGATATACACAAAGTGACACACACAGAGACATATCCACTCCGAGAAATAGGCTCTTTGCTCCTCTTACTCTACCCTCAAGGCCAGGGAAGAGGAGATCCCCATCCTCTACTCCTGGACACACATAGCCTTTGGATCCCCCCTCCTGGCACCATTGCCCTGCCTTGGGGACCCTGCTCCTGCAGGAAACCCCAGGCTGAGCCCCTGGGGTGGGAGCCCTAGGAATTCCTCCTGCCTCAGGCTGGCAGTGCAGCCTTCCAATCACTTCTGCAGCTGCCTCCTGCCTTTCTCCCGTGGGGCCGCTGGACAACAGCCAGGGACACATAACCCTGGGCGCCCCTGCCCCGCCCCAGGCCCAGCCTCCCCGCCAGGGCCTCCTGGTCCCCTCTGTCCCACACTACAGCCACCTTTGCCCCAATTTTTGGCATCCAAGACCATGGGAAGTGGAGGACAGAGATGTGGGGAGGAAATGGGGGACGGAGGCATTGGTGCACATGCTGAACCCAACTGGGTATGGGTGGGTGCGGCGTGCTCACCCGGAGGCCCCCCTGGAATCCACCACCCCCCACCGCTGCCCCTGCACAGCTGTTTATAAATTCCAGGCCCAGCCTTGGCCTCTGCCCAGATTCTTCTCCCAGCCCCTTTTCAGCCCCATCTGCAACCCAGACTCAGAGCCAGGAGCTTGCATGGGTCCAGGGCCTCCCTGCTCGACTCTGCCTCATCCCTGGGTCTTGTGTCTCTCTGAATTGTGGCCTCACCCTCCAAATCTCTGTCTCTTTTCATCTTTCCCTTTTCATCCTTACAACCAGCCCAGACATGCTGCTCCAGCCTGCTCCCACGTGCTCCCCCCGCCTGCCTCCCCCACCCCTCAGCGAGTGCCAGCACTAAGCAGTCATGGCCTTCCACTAGCTCCCTTCTGCTGCCCTGCCAGCTGGGTCACAGGCACAATTCCTAGCAGAGACCTGCCCCAGATCCAAGGGTCCAAGTCCCCAGGCCTTCCTCTCCCAGACCTAGGAGTCCAGGCCCAGCTGCTCCTCCCTCAGACCCAGGGGTCTAGCCCTAGCCCCTTCTCCCTCAGAGCTGGGGTCCTGCCCCCCCAGCCCCTTCCCCTCAGAGCTGAGGTCCTGCTCCCCTAGACCCAGGTGTCCACCTCACTCACCTCGGCTCACTCTCTGTTTGGCACCAGATAGGATGCCTGGGGTGTCGATGATACTGATGCTCTCCAGGACCTGATTGGGAAGCTGGGCACACATGAACCTGGGGGCAGAGGGAAGGTCAGGGGTCAATCCAGGAAAGTGCAGAAGGACAGAATGTAAGAAGGGAAATGGGAACTACACAGGGAAGAACCAGGTCCAGAGGAGGGAAGACTCTGGAAAGAGAAAAGACAGATCAGGACAGAGAATTATTATATGTTTATAAAAGGTAATTGCTTATGTTCACTGAGCATCTACTTTGTACTGGTACTAAGTCCTTATAACAACACTATAGGCTGAGTGCAGTGGCTCACGCCTGTAATCCTAACACTCTGGGAGGTTGAGGCGGGTGGATCACCTGAGTTCAAGACTAGCCTGAGCAAAAGCCAGACCCCGTCTCTACTAAAATAGAAAAGCTAGGTAGGTGTTGTGGTGGGTGTTGTAGTCCCAGTTACTTGGAAGGCTGAGGCAAGAGGATTGCTCAAGCCCAACAGTGTGAGGTTGCTGTGAGCTCACAGCACTCTACCCAGGGTGACAGAACTCTGTCTCAAAAATAAATATACAGGCTCAGTGCCTGTGGCTCAAGTGGCTAAGGCACCAGCCACATACACCTAAGGTGGCGAGTTCGAATCCAGCCCAGGCCCACCAAACAACAATGATGGCTGCAACCAAAAAAATAGCCAGGCATTATGGCGGGCGCCTGTGTTCCCAGCTACTTGGGAGACTGAGGCAGGAGACTCGCTTGAGCCCAGGAGTTGGAGTTTGCTGTGAGCTGTGATGCCACAGCTCTCTACCCAGGGGGACAGCGTGAGGCTCTGTCTCAAAAATAAATAAATAAATAAACACATGAATAAACAACCCAACAGAGAGGAGACTGTGGTTATCCCCATTTTCCAGACAAGGCTAAGAGAGGCACAAAGAGGTTAAATCATTTGCCCAAGGCCCCCCAGTAGCCAGAAGCAGAGCCAGGATCTGAAGCCAGGCAGGTGGCTTCACTAGCTTAACCACTCCACTGGAAAGGAGAGCAGAGGCAGGAATGAGAAGAATCAGGTAGGTAGAAGTGTCCAATGTGCAGATTTTGTGAGGACATTTTATGCTTTTCTGTGGTATTGGATATAATGAAAAGTATGCACAGACTTTTTGTTTGCTAATCAGCTTTTGTTAGTGTTGGTGTATTTAATATGTAACCTAAGACAACTCTTATTCTTTTCTTTTTTTTTTTTTTTTTTTTGAGACAGACTTTCACTCTGTTGCCCTGGATACAGTACCATGGCATCATAGCTCACACCAATCCTCTTGCCTCAGCCTCCCAAAGTAGCTGGGACTATAGATGCCTGCTACTATGCCTGGTTAGTTTTTGTTTTTGTTTTTTTCCCCTATTTTTAGGAATTCCAGGCATGAACCACTGCACCCAACCTAACAATTCTTACATTTCCAATGTGTGACAGAGAAAAAATAAGGTTGGATACCCTGGCAGAGAGAAAGGAAATGGGGTTGAGAAGGAGAGAAACACAGTCAGGGATGGGACAGAGATGGGGCTCTGGGTTGGGAACATATGCCTCTGGCTCATGGCTGCCACACCTGTTCAGGAAGGTGTTCCCAAAGGGGTTGAGCTTGCGGAAGGGCTTGTCTGGATCAACGACAAGGGCATTGCCAGGCACAGTGCCCTCAGTGTCACCATGCATGACAGCCACAAAGCAGTCGGTGGTGGGTTCTGGCCCCACGCGGGAGCCGGGCACCTCCTGCTCCAGCAGGTACTGGATAAAGCTGGTTTTGCCCGTGCTGTACTGGCCAGCCACCAGCACCATGGGCTTGCCATCGAAGTCGGCGTCCTCCAGGGCTGGCGAGTGGAAGGCCCCAAAGCGGTAGTGCTCCTCGAGGGGCAGCAGCTTTGTGCGGTACAGCTCCTTGAGGGCTGAGGTCACAGTGCGGATGGCCTCGGGCTGCTGGCCCCGAGCCCCACCCCGTTTCAGCCAGCTGAACATGGCGGCTACGTGCTGCCTGCTGGGCTCGCAGGGAGAGATGCACAAGTGGAGAGTTGTCTGCGGGAAGAAGAGAGGGAATTGATGGTGGACTGCCTGGAGGAGGAGGAGGAGAAAGGGGGCCAAAGGTAGAATGTCCAGGTGGAGAGGAGGAGCAGAGAGCACCAACGGTGGGTGGCAGAAGGAAGAGAATTATGGTGAACCAGCTTCAGGAAGAAAAAGATTAATCGTGGTATGGGAGAAGAAGGGGAATTGGGTGGAAGGAGAACAGGGTGGACAAAAGGAAGGATGCAGAAGCTGCCTGGAAGAAATGTGTTCCTTAATCCTTCATTTTCTTCTTTCCTTCTTCCTTCCATCATTTGACACAATTTCACTGAAATCATTCATTCCATGCTTTAGGAGCTGTAGACCCCCAGATGAGCCAGAGACCAGTCCCCACTCACTCAGAATCTCAGTGAAAACCTGAGCACCAAGCACTTAATGATGTCTGGGAAATGCCAGGCATCCAGAGGGGCCATGATAAAGCAACCACATGGTCAGCAAGGCTCAGAGCAGTGCTGACTTTTGAGCTACTCCATGAAATGGAGCAAGGCAAGGGGATTTAGGTAGAGAGGATGGTGTGAGCAGCAAAAGCCTGCAGGTCAGGTCCATGGGTGCTGAGAACTGTGAAATGTCTGGGTCTGTGGCTGAACACAGGAGCACGAGAAATGAATGGGGCTGAAGAGGTTGCCACGGTACACCCAAGTCATGAGGAGTTGGGTGTTAACATAAATAATCCAACATTTATGATCTGCGTGCCAAACATTGTTTTAACTCATTTAATCTCATAAACTTGCAAGGTAGGTCTGTTATTATCTCCACTTTTTCTACAAGGAAATGGAGGCTCAGGAAGATAGCAGTAAGTTGCCCCAAATCACTTAGCTACAAAATGTTCAAGCTGGGACTTAAACTCCAGCAACCTGCCTTAACAGCTTGTGTTCCTATTATAGGTCTAAGGAACTAAGTTAGGGAAGTGATAACCAACCCAGTGGCACTGTGCACCCCTAGCACCCAGACTGTGTTCTCTATAACCTCTTATCTTACTATCCTTTCATTCACTGTAGGATCTGTACTGATGTCCCCTCTTTCATTTCCGATAACGGTAACATACGTCTTTGCTCTTTAAAAAAAAAAAATCTTGAACAGATCTGGGAAAAAAAACCCTCTTGATCATCTAAGTAGATGGTTATAATTTTATCCATCTTTTCAAAGATCCAGCTTTTGCTCAGATCAGTTTCTCTAGACACCATTCTATACTAAAAGAATCCAAGACTCTTCGGTGAAATGGCAGATTCCAGGGCTAGGGAAGGGAAGAATAAGTGAACCTAGATGGGATACTGGGGAAGTGCTCAGAGACTGACGGGGCGTGTCCCAGGGACCAACAGGCCCAGCTTGAAGGGGCTCCCACTGGCCAAAGACAGGATAATTTGAACATCAAAATAAACGCAAATCAAATATGTTAACATTTGTAAAATCATAATGATAGTCTTAAAAAGGGGGGAGAGATAAAGGAAAGGTAAGAGAGAGGCAGGAGTGGGACGTGGGATATGGGCAGAGAAAGGGATCCCTGGGTAGTGTCCCAGGCAAACAGGGGTCTGGAGCGGATCTGGGAAGGACTAGAGGAGACTGGAAAAGAGGGTAGCGCAGAGGATGGGGGTCACTGCCACAGACAGGGAGGGACTGGGGGAACACCGCAGAGAGTGGACGGTTACAACCCGGGGGCGGACGAGGGCCGGGTTTTCGGATAGCAGGGCAACTTCTGGACCCCAGCGGGCTCACGGGGGCCGCGGCGCCGGTCGGGAACAGCTGAGGGCCAGGAGCACTCACCGACCGGGCGCGCTGGCGGCTGAGCGAGCGGGTGGGCTAGGCGGGGGTCCCGCGGGGATCCAAGGCGCCCACGAAGCGGCCTGTACTCGCAGTCGGGTGCGGAGCGGTCTGAGCCGGGTGGGGCTCGGGGCGGGGAGGATGGGAGGGAGCGACTTGGGGGGCGGATCGAGGCGCCCCCCCTCCCCAAACCAGGAGCCCGGCCTCCGGCGCCCCCTGGTGGGGACGAGGGAGGACGCCTCCGCGAGGCGGGCGGGCCGGCCGTACGAGCCGGCTTCCTCCACATCTCGGTCTCCCTTCTTAACATGGGAATAACAACTGTTGCAGCTGCAATAATAATAATAATTGAAAAACGTAAGTGAATTCATGAAACTCCTCTGCTCTCAACCCTCCATGGGTACCCCCTCTCCGAGTAAAAGCCACAGACTTCACCATGGCCCACAAGGACCACCATGATCTGCCCACATCTCCCCATTTAGTCCTCTTCCCCTCCAGCCCCAGCCACATTGGCCTTCTCCCTATTCCTCAACAATATCAGCAATCCTTCAACCTCAGGACCTTTGCACTTGCTGTTCCCTCTCCGCCTGTTCCACTCTCCTGCTTTCTGCCCCAGAAATACACATACCTCACTCCATCCCCTCCCTCTGGTCTCTGCTCCAACATCACCTCCCTGGAGAAGCCCTCTCAGATCTCCCTGTCTGATCTAGTGCTCACCACCTAGCTCTTATTGCTGCTTTTTCTCCACAGTCCTTACAACCACACAAGGCATTCTATATTTTTCTGCTTAGGTAACAGTCTCCCTCAGATTAACACAAGCCCCATGAGGGCAGGGATTTTCCACTAAGTGGTTCCCTCCTGTGCCCTCAGCACCTACCAGGATGCCTGGCTCACCACAGGACCAGTAAATATTTGTGGAAAAAATTCCTAACATTGGTTGGCAGGGTGGCTCATGCCTATAATCCTAACACTCTGAGAGGCTGAGGCAGAAGGCTTACTTGAGCTCAGGAGTTCAAGACCAGCCTGAGCAAGAGTGAGACCCTGTCTGTACTAAAAACATGGAAAAATTAGGCGGGTATCATAGCAGGAGCCTCTATTCCCAGTTATTTGGGAGAATGAGGCAAGAGGATCTCTTGAACCTAGAAGTTTGAGGTTGCTGTGGGCGAGGCTGATGCCATAGCACTCCAGCCTGGGCAGAGTTAGGCTCTGTCTCCAAATAAAATAAAAATAGAAAAACTAGCCCAGCATTGTGACAGACACCTGTAGTCCCAGCTATCTGGGAGGCTGAGGCAGTAGGTTCTCTTGAGCCCAGGAGTTTGAGATTGCTATGAGCTATGATGATGCCTCTCTTGACAGCACTCTACTCAAGGCAACAGAGTGACTGTCTCAAAAATTAAAAAAATCCCTAACATTGACTGAGCTGTTCCTATTAGAGCAGACACCACTCTAAGCTCCTGGTACACATTATCTCAACACATCATAACTTACCAAAGAACTAGGTATTGTCCTCATTTTACAGATGAGACAGCTGAACCCAGAGCCATGAATTCAGAAAACCCAGAGATTTTTCAGGGCTTAACTGCACCTGCCGATGTCAGGTACTTAAGAAATCAGTTCTTGGATTATACAGGTCTCTGAACCTCGGGGACTTGGAGTACACAAAAGACTTGGATCAAATCCTGGCCCTGATACTTGCATGCTAGGGAAGCCCAGGAAAGCAACTTTGCCTTCCTGCACCTCAGTTTCCCCATCTATAAAATGGGCGTTTATCTGTGCCCCACAAGAACACTTCCCTTGAATCTTTGCTTGAATGGTGTCTCCTCAGAGAGGCCCCCCTCTGATGCTGCCACCCAGCCTCCAAGACTACTGCCCCTGTCACTACTTTATTTTCCTTCTTAGCACTTGTCACTATAGGACAGCTTACGTGTGTTATTTACTTTTAACTTCCTCCACAAGAATGTCAGCTTCCCAAGGGCAGTGATTTTTATCTGTTTGGTTTACTGTTGTTGCCCCAGTGCCTGGCACAAAGCAAAGAAGCATTATTTTGTATTTTATTTATTTATTTATGAGACAGAGTCTCACTCTGTCACCAACGCTAGAGTGCTGTGACGTCACAGCTCACAGCAACCTCAAACTCTTAAGCTCGAGTGATTCTCTTGCCTCAGACTCCTGAGTAGCTGGGACTACACACACCCACCACAATAGCGTCCGGCTATTTTGTCTTTGTTTAGTAGAGACAGGGTCTTACTCTTGCTTAGGTTGATCTCAAATTCCTGAGCTCAAGTGACACACGACCTCAGTCTCCCAGAGTGCTAGAATTGCGGGCATGAGCCACTGCACCTAGCCAAGAACCATTATCTTTTTTAAAAAAAATTAAAATGGTATATAAAGGCAGCACCTGTGGCTCAAAGGAGTAGGGCGCCAGCCCCATATGCCAGAGGTGGCAGGTTCAAACCCAGCCCTGGCCAAAAACTGCAAAAAAAA